TCAACAGAGTGCTGCTCCGCAGAGTCATCCGCCTTACTGATGTGGCCGCGGTGATCAAGGGGTTTGGCGCCCTGGGCTTTCCCAATTGTGGGGGGGCAATCGATGGGACACACATCCCCATCTATGCCCCGGAACACCAGACCTCCCTGTACATAAACCGGAAGGGATACTTCTCCATCATCCTGCAGGTTTTGTCTGACCACTGAAGTCACTTCGTGGACATTAACATGGGCTGGTCCGGCAAAGCACACGACGCGCAGGTTTACCACAACTCCTCCATGTGCCAAAGGCTGCACGCTGGGACTTTCTTTCCCAACTGCCACATCAGGGTTAGGGACATGGACATACCTGTGTGCCTGGTTGGGGATGCGGCCTATCTCCTACAACCCTGGCTCATGAAGCCCTACAGGGGACACTTCAACCCCTCCTGACAGGCCTTTAATGCCAAGCTCGGCAGGGCCCGCTCGTGGTGGAGGGGGCGTTCGGCCTGTTTTAGATACCTCCTCACCCACCTGGACCTCTCTGAGCGTGGTGGCAGCGTGCTGTGTGCTGCACAATTTGTGTGAGTGGCAGGGGGAGGCTTTCCTATCAGGCAGGATGGCAGAGGCCGAGCGCTTGGCCGGCCTGTACAGGCAGCCTCGCACGCTGACTAGCCAGGAGGTCCATCGGGGGGCTGTCCGTATCTGGGAGGCCCTGCGGGAGAGCTTCCACCCAGAAGAGAACTAAAGTCTCCCTGGTGTGCCCCACTGGGCTCTTGTGCCTCATTCCACCCTCACGTCCTTTCACTGACTCCTCCCTTTCCTCATGTAAATAAAGACATGTGTTGCAGAAAAAAACTCTCTTTATTGAACAAAACTGGGATGGGGGGAATGAGGGCAGGAGAGGGGAGGCAAGAGGGTGGGAGAGGGGAGGGGTAAACCTGGGAGGAGGGAGCTGGAAGGGGGAGGCAAGGAGAGGAAGGGGAAGGAGAAGCTCAGGGTTGGGGGTCTTGCTGGCCCACCTGTCTCCCAGCACTGTGGGTGCGGGGCCTTTGGCGTCCCCAAGCGGGAGGGGGTATGGAGGGTGGGGTGGATGGGGAAGAAGAAGTGGGAGGAGGAGCAGTAGCTGGGGAGGCAGCAGGGGCTGGAGCGGCAGGAGGCAGCAATCTGTGCACCAGGGTCTGCAGGTGGTCGTGGATGACATGCCCCTGGTCAAGCAGCTTCCGCAAGCTCTCCTGCCACAGCTGCAGGTCTTCCTGCACCCAGTGCTCCTGGCAGTGGATCTGCCTTCACAGGAGCTCCAGGTGCTGCTGCTGGTACTCCTCCTGGTTCCAGGTCAGCTTGCTGAGGGCCCAGGTATGGTGGAGCTGCAGGTCTTGGTGCACCCAGAAGTCCAGGGTGCGGTGCGGCCTCTCCGTATCCCCAGGTGCTGCTGCTGCTGGTACTCCTGGTGATGGGTCAGCCTGCTGGCCTGGGTGCGGGAGGATGTCCTGGGCGGGGTGATGCGCCCTGCACTTGCAGCTGTGGAGAAACAAGAGAAATGGTCAGTTATACCTGGGGACACAGCGGGTGAAGTCCAGCCCCGCCCCCCCGTAAGGCGAGGATGGCAGGTCTCCATACCATTGGAGCTGATGTGCTTGCACACAGGCCATGTTCAGCATGTCCTGCTATCCCTGAGAGCGGGAGCTGGCCTGGGACTGTACCCATGCCCCTGTGCTTTATATAGTGCGGGAAGTCCCCTGCCTCTGTGTAGAGGGGGCTTGTGGAGGGAGGGCATCATGCAGTGTCCCAACCTGGGGTCAGGAGCATGTCATGTTCCTTCATACACTAACGTGTGTGGGTAACAGGCCAAGGCCCATGTGTCAGCCAGCTGTGGCCATGTGCCCAGGGGTGGCATGGCACATGCACAGGTTGCTGCGTGATCCATGGTCTTCTCCCCGCTGTATAAGGGGACAGTGATGGCACTCACAAGTCGTTGCCTCCCCAGCCTCAGATGACACCAGCGACAGGCTCGCTGGGACGGTCCAGGGGTCCTGGATGTGTGGCGCGCTCCCTCCAGGCTCCTGCGGCTCCTGGCCCCCCTACTCCTTGGTCTCATGGTCGGGGCCCTCTGCCCCAGGGTCGATGACCACCTGGGGGGCATGGACCTTCCAGGCATCAAAATAGGGGCAAGAGTCTGAGTCTGAGCCTGGTTGGGAGCTGCCCCCTATGGCCCTGGCATTGGCCTGCTGCAGCTCCTTTATTTTCATGTGAACCTGCTCCTGGGTTCGTATGTGGCCTTTGGTGGCCAGGCTGGCAGCCATCCTTCTGTAGACAGCTGCATTCCTCCGTCTAGTGCGGAGATCATGGACTTTGGAGGATTCCCCCCAAACCTCAATTAGGTCCATAATCTCCACCCTGGACCAGGAAGGTGGCCGCCTTTTCCCACCCCTGGCAGGCTTCTGGGAGCTTGCAGACTGGTCCTGGGGAGCAGTGGAGGGCTGGCTGGCACTGGCTGCCTGGCTCATGCTGGGGCCACTGGGTCAGGAGCAGCGACTGCTGGCTCTGGCCTGGCAGGCTTGGAGCTGGGACAGGCACTGTGGCCAAACAGACTCTACCTCTTTAAGGGCTCCAGGGAGGGTGAGCAGGAGAGAAGAGGAGATTTCCTGGTTGGGGCCACCAGGGCACCCTGGGAAGGGCCAGAGGCCCTCTATTTTGAAATAAGCATCTACACAGTGCTTATTTCGAAATAGCAATTTCAAAATTGGCGCTATTCCTCGTGGAATGAGGTTTACTAATTTCGAAATAGCGGTTGGCTTGTGTAGACACTAGTGAAGTTATTTCGAAATAACTTTTCTGTGTAGACATACCCTGATTGTGAGAGTACCTATGTCTGGCATTTTGAAAAAGCTCCATTTAAAATCATATACACTTAATACATTTTTTCAAACAACTGTCGTGTGGATTGATGCACTCTGGCAATTTTGAACATGCTCATGTAAATAGCCACTCTTCTTCATTTAGTCATTTCTCTTCATAACATCATACTTTCTTATTTTTAAAAAAGTTGTCATGAGATTTAAGTAGACGTGTGTGAAATCTTGTCTGACTGAATTTCAGCCTGTCATTGACTGAGGCTCAGGATATGCATGATTGGCTTTAGGCTGTAGCCTGAATTCGTACCAGTGTCCCTAATGTTCTTTGTGAATGGTAACATGTGACAGTGGGAATTCTTACCAACTCCTGCCCAGCTAGGAGGTGTATGGATTCTGGACCTGTTAAAACTGATGTAAATCAGAAGCAAATTCAATTAACTCGGTGTAGTTATTTCAAAGGGGATACGTGACATTAGCCATTTGAGCAGGTACAAACACACACTCATTGAAATGGTGATGGTATTGAGCAAATTACTGAAGCACTGACAGTAACTATGCCTAACAGATACTGCTTTGCCACAGAAGTTTACCAGCCACTAGGGACAATTCCCCCAATTGGCCTGCTGTGGGTGGGAATGAAGAGAGATGTTGTCCCTCTCTCCCTGCGCCTCTCCCTTGGAGCTGGACTAGGATTGGCAGCCCTTGAGGATTGCTCTGGAGTCTCCAGGCATTAGTTAGTATGTCATGTGATAAAACATCCAGGAATATGTCCAACCAAACCTGGCAACCTTAAGCTGTGCAGAGAGTAGGACAGATGATTCTGCCGGAGAGAGCCTGGGCTGGTTGCAGGATGGGAGGCGTCACTTGGCAGGAGAGAGACACGGAATAGTCACATGTCCTCCCCTTTAGCTTATGTCCTTTCCTAGTGTGGAAAAGCATCAGTTGTCTATGGTTCTGAGCCTAGAAGGGGGCTGGGTGGAGGGGTGGCCCTTCTTGGTTCCTATGTTATTGCCTCTTTCCTAGTACAGCAGTTGTGGTGCTAAACTGTGAGGGTAAAGATGGCGGAATGGTTAGGTGCTAACCTGACTTTGGATTTCTCAATTTACTACTGTGACCTTGGGCTTTGCTTCAGTGTATGGTTCACCTTTTTTTGTTTTTAAGGGTGCTATGTAGTGAAGTCCGGGGGCAGTTCATCCCTTTGCAGGCTGTGACAGGGCACAGTTCATCCCTTTGCAGGATCAGAGCATCTGGATGTATCCTGTCATTTGTAAATCTATGCTTATTTAAAAATAGTATTGAAATCTAAAGGGTCAGAAGCAATGTACAAGTTACTAAGATGGCATTTGTAGAATTTCTCTTCAAATGATGGCTATGTGTCATTGCTTGCAGCAAATTAAATTTAGATGAATTCAGGGCCGTAGCTGGACTGTGAACGTTAACCATTATCCGAAGAAGTGTAAATGTAGTAAAAATGCAATCAAGTGATGTAAAATCAAAATATCATTTTTGGGGCAGCTGTTACATCTTCAGTGGCCCAGACTGAAACAGACCATTTAGGGACTGAACCTGAAATCAAAACTTCTTGCAGGTCATCCTCCAATTGCTCTTTTTTTATGCTCTTTGGACTCAAACACTAAGAGAGGAAAAGCTACAAATAAAAAAAGACCTCTGCTATGACCTTTTGGCTTGATATAAAAAAAATAAGAGCAAATATTTCTTTTCATGATGGTCTTGAAATGCTAGAGAAGACACAATAGTTTATATTTTTTTAAAAGCATAAGACACACAGCAAAACAACACACTTTTAGCACTGGCTCTCAAAAACTTCAGCATGGGCCCTTTCTGTCCATATTTCTTCATCATTTTTAGATTAAGAAACAAAAGAGTCATTATCCCCCAACACACTATTCCTGTAAAATTCATTTTAAAAGGTTGCTTTTAGAATCTCTTAGCCAGCACTGTAAAGAGATTGAAAAATGCCAGCCTCAGGCATTCTTGATTTCCTACTCTTCACAAGTCCTGTATTCATCTCTTAAATATAATATATTTATAATCAGGACCAAGACAGCATGATCCTATTTGATTCTAAATAAGGGAAGCCGGATTTGGAGGCTTTCTGGTTTAAATGAGAGGCAGGACATGCCTCCATCAAGGCTTTAGTTACAAGTTAGTTAATCTCTTTACGTTTTCTCTCTTTTATTGCTTTAAAAAAAATCAGAATGCCCTATAAAGCAAAATTTCAAGGGAATTTAGAAATCGAATCTATGCACAATTCTGCCTTCATTTACATGGATGAAACTTCAGTGACTTCAAATCCTTAGAGCCATCTCTTCCTCACCAATTTAGCAAAGAAAATAAAACTCAGCCAAGCGGCTTATTAGACTTTCAAACCCTGATCATTAAGTATAAGATTTATCTTTTCATTGCCACCAATTTTTGCAATTTTGTCATTCCTCTCCTCAATAAACCTCAGTAATTAAAAACTCAAACTGTTTTTGGCTGTTCAAAGGTATCTCTAACATCTGTGTGTGAAGAGTATGTTTGTTTTACGTCTCATAGGATGCAGGATTCACTGTCTCAGTAAATATATCTCTGTATGCCAACTCCAATCACATTCATGCTAGTCTATAAACATCTTCTTCTCTAGTCTCCTGCCCGTATCTCTTTTAGCGGTTTCCACTGGATAAAGATGTAATCCCTTTCAGTAAATTGAATAATCCTTAAAAGCCAGAATGGCCCAAGTAAACTGCATGCTGCTTATTTTATTGATTGTATCAAATAGAAATCAAATCTCCAGAGCACATTAAAAAAACCAAACAAACAGGCAAACACAAACAAAACCCCAGCAACACACACAAACTGTTTTGTTAAGTGGTGTCATTGCTTATTTGCATGTCACTCTCCTTCCCCCTTGTTACAAGGTGTTCTGTCTTTGAGATGAAATGAGCGAGGGCTAAACTAATTAACTAACCAGCAGTGATCTACAGTCTCAGCACCTTGCATTCTTCAAGATTGATCCCATTTCGAATTCATTGCCATTTCCCTCCAGGGAAATAAAGATTGCTGCCTATTAAAGATGGGGACAGAAAAAGGCACCTTCACTGGAGACAGCCTGTACAAGAAAATAATACTGTAATCATTCCCTCCAATCAGCTGAAAAGGATTAAATCTTCTGCTTCTAAAGTAATGTTCCAATTGAGCCTTGGGGAAGAATAATTCATGATTAGGGAGAAGGCTGGTCTAGCAAATGTGAACATTATGTCCATTACTTAAACACACTTCCTGGGCTGACTGCTAATGTACCCAGGGGACTTTGCAGCGGCAGCCACTGATAGGAGCAATGAAATAGGCCGACAAGGACAAGAAGTATTATCATCTGCATTCAACAGCACTACATAGACTTTACCACTGTTAAATCACTGCCTTTGGTAAATAGCCTAGATAACTCATTTTAATAGAAGAATTCTTCTCTTCTTTTATGTGTATTAAACAACAGACTCTTATGAGCTGTGGCAGTGTATTGATTCCTGGGAAAGGCAGTGTGAATACCAATTCTATAATGTATGCTGTTTTGTGACTCTGGCTGTATTTGTTATGCATAGTGTATTAAACATTCAATAGCTCAATTTAATCTTTGCAGCCAAATTGCACAGCACATCATGCCAGATAGTGGTTGTTTCATATACACAGCCCATCTGCTTCCTGTTCTATAATTCATTCAGCAGACAAAGTTTCTGAAGCCTCAGGTTACCCTACATATATACTCACACTTTGATTTCGGGGTTCCCCGAGATGTATGTGATGACAGGATATGTACATGGGTGCCTTCGCTTTCAGGAGTCATGGGATAATCTTTCTGAATTCTTCTCTGTGGTGTTTTCAGGAATTTCTGGTGTTCAATAATATACTTGAACATTTGAAAATAAAACAAAGATTCTTTACATCTTCAGCTAATATGAACTGGCCCAGGTTTATTGATTCCAATGAAGCTATTTATACCAAACTTCCACCAGCTGAGCATCTGGCCCAGAACTATCTTGCCCAATAGGAAATTGGAGTGTAATTTCCCCCAGCAATTAGATTGCGTTTACAGCTCACAGCCAAGGGTAGGGTTTGGCAAAGAGGCTAAAGATTAACCTAAAATCATCTGACTGGGGAGAGGCTGGCTCGTTTTTTCTCTTTAGCACTTTCTCTTCAGGGCTGTCTTCTCTACTCTCAGGGCTGAGTCAGTTTCTGTCTACTGCCCTAGCATTTTCAGCTTCCTGACTAATTTTCTTTCTCCGCCTTCAAGAATTAAGCACTCTGTCTATCCTTACGGCACTAAGAAGAATTTGCTCTCCTATGCTTTTTGCTATGCTTTCAGTTATTTTACTTTGTGCCGAGAAGCCTTAATGATTGCCATACAACTATATGTTCCATATATAAAGGAATATAATTTATTCCTGGGCATTTGTCTCATTCTTTTAAACTCTTAGGCCAGATCTACACTGTGGGAGGAAAGGTTACTTAAGGTACACAACTCCAGCTACATATATAATGTAGCTGGAGTCAACTTATGCTAAGATGAGCTTGGTGCAGTCTCTACAACAGGAGGTTGATGGCAGAAAAGGAGTACTGGAGTGGACGGGAGAGGCCTCAGCATTTGATTTAGTGGGTCTTTCCTAGACACACTAAATTGAATCCTGAATAACTGACCACCACAGCATCGGTTTTCTGGCAAGTGGCCTAAGGTTTTCCATGGTTAGGTCTAAACAGCAAAATCTATGCACGGGCAAGCTTCTTACCCAAGTTACTTACAAGCTAGCTAGAACAGATAACAATTGCAATTAAGACTGAGCAGCATGGACTTCAGAGACTGTAAGTCTATACTGCAATATTGAGCCTAGCCCATCTTTGCCACTATGCTACAAGTGTGTAAACCGAGGGTCCCAGAATCCTGCAGGGAAGTGGGTGAGCTGAAATTAAGCCAGGACCTGTTTATAAGCGCCATTGCTTTGCTTTGTAGACACAGCACCTCTTGACTCTGATCTTGGGAGTCATCGGAAGTATCACACAATTCTATGGAACAACTTCCTTAGTTCTTTATCCCAACAATCTGAAATCCACTCTACTGAAAATGGAAGCTATTCCCCTTTGCAAATGGCAGCTGCTGAGGCCAGCATTAACCCATTCTTTTCTTATCACTGATTTGCAAGTGAAACCCATGCGTCTCCAAGGGTTGGTTCTCTGTCGCCTGCTAGTGGCACTGTGACAGCTTTGGGTATGTCTACACTTGCACCCTCTTTTGAGAGAGGGATGCAAATAAAGACATTCGAAATTGCAAATGAAGCTAGGATTTAAATATCCCACGCTTCACTTGTATAATTGTAATATGACGCTATTTCGAAGTACAAAATGTGGTGTAGATGCGGTTATTTTGGGAGAACGCGGTTCTTTTGGGAGTTATTTCAGCAGTTATTTCAGAAGAAGGGTGTTCTCCCCAAGTAACTGCATCTGCACTGCGTTTTGTATTTCGAAATAGCGCCATAACATGATTATACTTAATATTTAAATCACGGCTTCATTTGCAATTTTGAATGTCTTCATTTGCATCCCTCTCTCAAAAGAGGGTGCAAGTATCGACATACCATTAGAGATTAATGAGCCTGCTGTGGCCTTAGATAAGAGCCAAATTCTAGAGATTCCAGGTTTGATTTTGCCTGCTCATGTCCAGGTTATGTTGGAATTATACAAGCACACTGTCAGAAAGCCTCTTGGATGTGCAATGGATGGGCCTTTTGTAAAGCAAGTTGCTTCCTAGTAACATGCAGAGCAGGCAATAACGTTTTCCCACAGTGGATCATTGTTCCGGGGCTACAGTGGCCATATTTCTCTTGGGAGTAGGGAGATATTAGGGACTTTTCTATATGGTTACTTAGGTCTGCACAGTGCAGTGTGGGTGCCAGAGCCCTAGGCTTGAGCAGAGGTTAGAAAAGTCTTAACATGGGGTTAAAATACAAGGTAGCTTCTCAAACCCTGGGTTCTCTGATGCAGGTACACTAATCACGGGCTTTTGTTGCAGTATAGACCTACGTCAAGTAGGCTTTCAAGATACATTTGTACTCAGGCTCCCCGTTTGTCTGGTATTACCAATGCTGAAGTCTGCATTGTGCTGTTGTTATCTGCACTCACAAGATTTGAGCTAGCTCAGGTAGGCTACTTTGTGCACAGCTTTGGCTGTTTAAATGCAGCTTTAGATTCCTTTCCTGTCCAGTTGTTCTTTTGAAACCTATTTCCAATCTGAATTGCTTCTTGCACATCTCCCTAGTCTCACTCTCCTTTATCCCCTTTTTTGCTATTGCTAGCCTGTAGTACTTTCCTGTGGTTATGTTTACCCATGGCAATTTATTTCTGTCTGAAATAAGTGTTCCCTGGCTTGCTCTGTTATGTATGGAAGCACACTGGTACTATACATTGATCTGTTTGTTAGGCCATGTGATCATTTTCAGCTGATGTGGTGAAATCCACATTCCGGATATGTCTAGACTACATGTCTCCATCAATGGAGCCATGTAGATGAGTTTACTAGACATAGGGAAATAAAGTGGCAATTTAAATAATCACTGCTTCATTTACATAAAAATGGCCACTGCGTTGTGCCAATCAGCTTTTGGTGACACAGTGCGGTAGTCTGGACGCTCTGCGGTTGACAACAGACGTCTTTGTCGACAGCTCTGTTATGCCTCGTGGAATGAGCTGATTGGCACAGTGCGGTGGCCATTTTTATGTAAATGAAGTGACGATTATTTAAATCGCCGCTTCATTTCCCTATGTCTAGTAAACTCATATACATGGCTCCATCGACAGAGCCATGTAATCTAGACATACCCTTCTTCCATCATACAAGGAAGGAAAGCCTGTTTGAACAAGTGAACTAGCCCAAAAGGTTTATTTATGAATTTAAATTTGAAACCCACCAAGTGCTGGCCGGATAGTGTTGCCTAGATTTGGGCATACATGAGACTGACCCACTATGTTGTCCCAACTTTCTATGGAATTTAGATGATAATTTGAGGTAACAGCCTGTGACTGTACCTTTAGGGACCTATGAGCTGTGGTTGACCAGTGCTACTGGGAGGGTATCCCCATCAGAGACAAAGTAGAGGGCAACCATCTTTTGTAATAGGCCTCATAGCCTTTACCTGAACTCACTTGAAAACCTAGCTCTTTGATTAGATAAACCTGCTTTACTTTTTTTTCCTAAATCAACCCAGTACTATAGTTTGACTTGAAGTGATCATTAACTCCAATTAAGGCAATAAGCTGCTGTACTTTTGTCTCTTTTTAAAGGAGCAAGACACTTTATTTCTCCTCTGAATGCTCCAGGAGAGGGCTGGACACTTTACAGTAGATGGCTTTGGAGCAATTAAGGACTGAGGATGGCTTTGGAGCAATTAAGGACTGAGGGTTTGTTGCAGTCACTTGGCTAGGGTTAACCTAGGCTAGTGAAGACCAGAGAGTAGTTGGGTATAACAAGCAGACTGCTGGAACCAGAGTGCTGAGCCAATGTTGTTTAACATACAGAGACACCATGCATATTGTTTGTTGGCTGGGAGCATCCAGAGAGAGAGCTACAGCAACAGAGCATTTCAGTGCACTCTGAAAAAGTGGTGACATAACTCCTTACTGATCTGGATTGCACCCCAAATCATGGCAGAGTGATTATTATTACTTACATCACAGTATCATCCAGCAGTCCCCCCTCCCTCTCTAAAACACTTTGAATCTAAATAAATAGAGACATGGGGTGGTAAAGTGAGTTGCCCAAGGTCACCCAGCAGGTAGTAGCAGAGCTGGGAACTGAGCTCTGGTTTCTTGAGTTCTAATGTAATGCCCTACCAACTGAACTGGGCTGTGACCAGGAGTGGTTCGAGGAGAGCTGCCGGCAACTGGCACCCTAGGTGGAATCGGCGCCCCCGCCTCCATAGCCCTCAATGGCGTGACATCATCATTGGGCACCGCATTAAACGCAGCCCCCTAGGCAACTGCTGAGGTTGCCTACATCCACGGGCCGCCCCTGGCTGTGACAGAACCTCATGTGGTTCTTCCCAACCACTGCCATAAGAGGGGGGCACCTGGGCCTCTGAGCAAAATCTTGCTTAATCTAGTTGCCCTATAACTAATCGGGGTGAGAGCTGGGAGGGAAGGAGACCACGGCATCTGGTTTTTACCTCTGAAATTAATTTTAAACAATACAGTACTGCTCTCTGGCATGGAATGTGTTTGGGTACTGTCACATCTCAGCTGCATTATGAACCGTGAAGCAGAGAAGTGTCTCTAAACTTCTGCTTCTTAGTTCAGTGATTTGAAAGATTGGGCCCAGTTTCAGTGCTCGTAAGCCTGTGGCACTTGTTGCGTGTGTTTTATTGTTCTCCTTCTTGATGAAATTGTGTTGGACTGAGAGAGCACTATTTATTATCTCCAGAAGTTAATATTTAAAGTGATGCTAATTTTCCTTTGTCAGAAGTTGCCACACTTGGCTTAAAGAATGTAACCTGGGTATAAAAAACGTCTGCCTTCTAAAGGACAACTATTCCTTTTGGAAAATAAAAACGATTCATGTTAATAGCATTTGAGTGAACATCTGAGAAATGATGAAATCTGTTCAAAAGAATCAATCAAAAAGGTAGCTTGACATAAGAATGAAACAGTTTACTGGACTCATTTTCCAGGTTTCAAAACAATATTTCTTGAAAACCAATGCTTTTTTACATTAAAAGCTTTTGTTGATTAATCCTTACTGGTACTATTGTAATGTTCTATTGTATCCACTTTGAGAATGGAGTGACTTATCCAAAATTACCCAGGAAATCAAGGGCAGAGGTGGGAATAGAACCTTGGAGTACTGATGACTAGTTCTTGTTCTTACCATTTTTCTGTGCATGCTCTTCGGGGTACCAATACTACGTTCTTTTCAGTTTTCCATTAACACTCATAACAATGAGATATAATAGATCTTTGCCAGATAGATAGCCAGCCTCTTTCTTCTTCTTCCATATCAGTCAATCTTTGGCCTATATATACACACCGCACATATTCACGTTATGGTGCTCCCATGACTATCCAATTTTACATAATCTGCACAATACCTCATTTTTAACCATCGACAAGCTGGATATAAACAACTCAAGTCCGTTTAGTACCTCTAAAGGTCACTAAGTGGATTTAGTGATTAATGATTGATTATTTTTGCTGGCTTCTTTGTCACAGTTGAGTTATGCTGATATAAGCCTAGCTATGCATAATTAGCTCCTGTGATTTAGAAAATATTTTAAAGATATACTCATAATGAAATGAACTCATTTCTGCTATGCAGTCTGCTAGGCTTTCTGTTATGAGCCCAGCCATGGGAATGTGGTGGTTTTTGTTTGTTTGTTCCATTAATGGCAAAGAAATATGCTTTAAAATAGCACATATATAACAAGCTACTCATGTTTTACTCACCGTAGGCAATAGAGACATTATTACACTGTTTCTTTAAATTACAATGTCTATGCCTCATGATGCTTACACATCATTAAAACTCTGTGTTCTAAAAACATATAAAAATATTAAGTGGATTTACATCATGTAATATGACGATCAGCCTTCTAAGGCTGCATTGCACTATTCTGGCAGCACAATGCAACCTTAAAGTCATCTTAAATGTCTTCCTGGGGATTCCAGCTGTATAATCCACCCTTATAATCCTCAGTGCAGGAGTGGGCAATAATTTTTAATGGGGGGCACTCCAAGATTTTGGAAAGTGATGAGGGCTGCATTCTTTCAGGATACTAATGGAGGAATTCCAGAGTCTGGGTGGAGGCTGGGTGCAGCAGGGAGCTTGGAGTAAGGATTTGGGGAGTAGGAGGGAGAATGAAGTCTGGGAGGGAGTTTGGGTGAAGGAGGTGATTGTGACCTAGGGCAGGGGAGTGGGATGTGACCCTAGGATAGGGGGGGAATTGTGATCTGGGGTAGGAAACCAGGGTGCCAGATATGGGAGAAGATATGGGTACAGGAGGGAGTAGAGGGTTTGGGTAAGTGGAGGGGGGCAGAGGGTTAGGGAAGGGAGGGGCTGGGGTGCCAGAGGCAGGCTCTGGCTAGGAAATGCTTACTAGCAGAAACTTGAGACCCAGGCCCTTCCTACTCCACCAGGTCCTAATCCAGATCTGGGGTAGGAAACCAGGGTGCCAGATATGGGAGAAGATATGGGTACAGGAGGGAGTAGAGGGTTTGGGTAAGTGGAGGGGGGCAGAGGGTTAGGGAAGGGAGGGGCTGGGGTGCCAGAGGCAGGCTCTGGCTAGGAAATGCTTACTAGCAGAAACTTGAGACCCAGGCCCTTCCTACTCCACCAGGTCCTAATCCAGGAGGAATCCCACCAAAACACACTATTTCCCAAGAAACTCAAACTCCCACCCTGGGCTACTTCCTACCATTCTCCGCTGGACTCTCTCCAGGGTCCTTCCTCCAGATGCTCTGTAGCATATCTGTGTCACTGGCTGGTTTCCAGGTCTGGTCCCTCTGGCAGTTTACCTGCAGCAGCTCTGGCTGGGCTTGCTTCCTTTTGATCACCTTCAGTAGTGTAATTGTTTCTCTGGCAGCTCCTTCTTCTACCAGCCCAGACTGAGCCTCTCTCCAGGCTTTTATACCTGGGCTGCAGTCTGAGCATGCCCAGAAGGGCTGTAGGAGCAGGGCTTCTTCAGCTAGGACTGCTTCAGCCAGCTTTCCTAGTGTGGGGCTGGCACACCCTGTCACACTAGCATTCAAAACATTCTGGGAATCTCTAGCAGTCACAGTATGGTGGTAAAGCCACTTTGGCCCTCCTTTCCTCAGCTGATGGAACTCTGTATCTTACCCAAGAAATGCTTTGCATCATAGGCACACTTGTTGGATTGATATATTTTAGAAATGATTTTTTCACGAGTGCAGAGTTCTCATACAGGAGCACTGTATTCTCAGTACAGACAGTGAGACAGTGAGATCTGTGCTACCCCTTGCAAGAGGAAATGGGGTCAGCATATGGAGTGCCCCCATTTTTTTTTCCTGATGTGGACATTTGACCACTGGGAGTGTTACTAAGACCAGCCAGTCATTTCATGTAGCTCACTAAATAGTCATCACCAGCTTTTAAAAATGACTCAGTAACTATATTAATTTGTTAGCTTTGAACCAGTAAGCGGAAGGCAAAAGGCCCCATATTCTGTTACTGATCACCTGAATCATCTATTATTGCTTAAGTAAACATTGGCATGTCCTTCATTATTAAAAAAACCCAAACCAAATCCACATTCTAACAATAAAAACGTGCATTCCTCTTGTCCCTCCTCTCCCCCACTTCTCATTGTTCACTCTATTTTAAAATCAATTTGTAATAATGAAAGGTGGAGATAGTAGGTACTTGCATGTCTTCAGTAGATCATCAGTGATCTACAACCCATTCTGGACAATAATCCCTCACTCTCACAGGCCTTGGGAGACAGGCCAGTCTTCGCCTACTGGCAACCTGCCAACCTGAAGCAAATTCTTACCAGCAACTATACACTGCACCACAGTAACTCTAACTCAGGAACCAATCCATGCAACAAACCTTGGTGCCAACTCTGCCCACATATTCACACTAGCAACACCATCACAGGACCTAACGAGGTCAGCCATACCATCATGGCTTCATTCATCTGCACATGTACCAATGTAATGCCATCATGTACTAGCAATGCCCCACTGCTATATACATCGGCCAAACTGGACAGTACCTATGTAAAAGAATAAATGGACACAAATCAGATATCAGGAATGGGAATATACAAAAACCTGAAGGAGGACACTTCAGTCTCCCTGGACACACAGTAGAAGATTTAAAGGTAGCCATCCTGCAACATAAAAACTTCAAGAACAGACTCCAAAGAGAAATTGCTGAGCTACAGTTCATCTGCAAATTTGACACCATCATCTCAGAATTAAACAAAGACTGTGAATGGCTAGCCAACTACAAAAGCAGTTTCTCCTCTCTTGGTGTTCACACCTCCAGATCAGCTGCTAGAAGTGGACCTCATCCTCCCTGACTGAATTGACATCGTTATCTCCAGCCTTACTCTTGATTGGAACTCTTTTCTTATGCCTGTATATTTATACCTGCCCCTGGAATTTTCACTACGGCTGTGTCTACATTGGCATCTCTTTCCGGAAAAGGGATGCTGATGAGACACATCACAATTGCAAATCCGTGGGGGATTTAAATATCCCCCGCGGCATTTGCATTTACATGGCTGCCGCTTTTTTCCGGCTTGGGGATAAGCCGGAGAAAAGCGCCAGTCTAGAAGTGATTCTCTTGAAAGTAGGAATAAGAGATCCTCCGGAAAAGGGCTTATTTTCCGGAGAATCACGTCTAGACTGGTGTTTTTCTCCGGCTTATCCCCAAGCCGGAAAAAAGCGGCAGCCATGTTGCCTTATTCTAATTCAGCATAATTAATAACATGGTAAATTATTCCAGATTATTTTGAAATAACTAATTTTGGTAAATTTCCAAGTGCAGACAATTGCATTTAGGTGCCAAACAAAGTTACTATGTTTTCACATGTATCTGACGACATGTATCTTTGCCCACAAAAGCTTATGTTCCAATAAATCTGTTAGTCTAAGGTGCCACAGGACTCCTTGTTGCTTATTCTATAAAGTGAATGATCCTCAAAATATTGAAAGTTACTGAATATTGACATTTTTGGAGTTCATGCATGTGTGACTCTTATTAAAAATGTTTAAGGGAAAAAGTGAAAGATTTAAAGTGAATTTTTTCCCCTAGGCAGTTACTGTATCAGACTTATAGACTAAGTCAGTGACCCAGCATGATCGATGATAATGGCAGGCCTGAGGACTGCTAGGCTATGTCTACACTGGGGGCTTCTTGCGCAAGAAAAAGTCCACACTGCCATGTGCGAGCTGTGCTTTTGCGCAAGAGCTCCCATGGCAGTGTGGACGCTCTCTTGCGCAAGAAAGCTCTGATGGCCATTTTAGCCATACGGCTTTCTTGCGCATCCACGCTGTCCTCTTGCGCAAGAGCTCCTGCACAAGAGGGCTTACACCTGCTAAAAAAAAGAGTTTAACTCTTGTGTAAGGAGCCCTCTCTTACCGCACCGTACTGTAAATTTTCTTGCACAAGAGCGGGCAGGCAGTGTGGACGCTCTGCAGATTCTTGCGCGAGAACAGCCGTACTTGCGCAAGAAGCCACGAGTATAGACATAGCCCTGGAGGGGTAAATTATACATTTGTGGGTGCTCTATAGTGTTGGTTTTCATGTCAGTGGGGTACTCCTAGCACATCTAGTGATTGGCTAGAGTTAGCGGGGGGAGAGAGATCTGGAGTTATTAATATGGTGACACCAGTATGTTATACTATACTTAATATTGTCAGAATGCAATGAAATTGGAAAGCATTAATCCTAAGTAAATTAGCCAGTGGTAACCCCTTACAGTGCCTCTAGCAGGATGGAGATTCATCTCAGTCTTAGATGTCCAAGGGGTATTGTTTTCTCATGTGTCTGGGTACATTTGTATTTGCTGCTTTCACCCTAAATTTATGAGCTTTGTAGACATGCAGAATATAACCCCTCCCAAAACAGGCACTCGATCTTGTAATGTGCAAATAAATGTATTGGCACACTACATTTGATAAAATCTGTACTCTGACTTATGACTGCGAATGCAACCTGACCATATAACCAAGAGTCCTTTTTATAATGAACTGAGTCTTGTTTTAGATATTGTAATTCTTCATGTTATGATAACCTGCTGAGCTAGTAAGTTGTGTAAATGCCGAGTGCAGCTCTGCAAGAATCATTACAAGAGAAATATTTTTTTCCTCCGTAGGAACAGATAGGGGAGATTTTCTATGTGGGAGTGATTTCTTACATATTCCTTAACCTCTGAAGATAGAAAAAGAAGCAATGGGCTTAAATTGAGGCAGAGATGGTTTAGGTTGCACATTAGAAAAACCCTAACTGTCAGGTTTGGTGTTGTCTTAGCATATACAAAACATGCCTCAGGTGGGATGTGACCAGGATTCATCACTGAATTTGGTCCATTGGTTCGTCACTACGTTACCCGCACAAATTTCCTTATCCCTTCCACACTTTAGGGACACACACCTTTATCCAATTCCTAAGGATCAAGGTGCAACCCTGTTAATTTAAACACCCACCCTTACCCAATTACTATGGCTCAGGGCATTACTTCCTGTGCTTCTGCAGGATCTTTTGCCACTGAAAGAACTGCCTTATACCGTAATATTCTTATTTGCTATGTATTGACAATTACCAAGCAAGCCGAATATACATGCTAAGCATACAGTGTCATGCTCATCAATCCTGATCAAGGCAGGCAAGGTCGGTCTCTCTGGATCCTACTTGCTATGTGTCACGGTCATACATTTTCTTGCTGTTCCTTTTTTCCTTTCCTCTTTCCCAGCTGGTCTCTTTCTTGAACCCCAGTTTATATAGTGAAACTTGAGTCCTGCTTAGCTATACCTTAACCAGTTATTTCAGTATAATTTTACTAACCAATCATAACATACTGTAATAGAATTACCTAACCAATCCTCTCCACCACCTTTGTAGATTTACACCTAGCAAAATTAATTATATAGCAGACAGAAACAGTTACAAACGAGACAGAGATCACACAGTCAGACAATAAGAAAGTGTAGTGACAATGATCATAGGATGAGGATTCCACACCATTCTCTGTTAAATGCTGTTAAACTAAGTTTTCTCTGCCTATCTTGAGATCTATTTCTTTATCTGGTGACAGTGGGTGCCATTAGGACAGGATCTCCTTCTAACAGCCGTGTGTGACGCTATTGTAATGCAATTGAAATAGAATGTGGATATGAAGAGCTAATGCTCTTCAATCTAGCTGCAGAGGAAGGCTTTAGGCCTTCCAATATGGCCACAGGAAAAAAATGGTTGCAACTAGCTTCCCTGGCCTGGTCCAGGTACTGATGGAGGAGTGCAATGTGAATACACATGTCAGCATGCTTAAGCAGTGGAACAAATTGCCCAGGGAAGTTGTAGAATCTCCATAATTGGAAATTTTTAAGAGCAGGTTAAAACACCTGTCAGAGATGGTCTAGCTAATACTCCTATTCACAGTGCAGGGGACTAGACTAGATGACCTCTCAAGCTTCTTTAAAGTCCTACAATTCTATAATTCCATGATTCCTGGTATATTTTTCTTGGCATCCATATTTTGGGCACATACAATCAATTTGATCCACACAGCACCCCTTTCTTCATGGAAAATCTTTTAAAATTATGCAGCAGGTGCCACTACCTTTTGTGGCTTAAAATAAAACCAAAAATCTAGCACTCTTGAACTACCTCCAGGGTCAAATGCATAATGTAACAGCTTACCTCCTGTTTGATTTCCAGCCCTAGGCCTTCTGGGAATATATCTTTATTGTTACGGCATTGCCTTGTAGCACTACAGGCTAACAGATCAATTTAGCCTTCAAAGCATCCTATCACTTGTCAATATGAAATTCTAGCAATTACTGAAGTGGGATGGCTGCAAAGCAGCTGAAAAACATTCCCTATTGATCGGCTCA